TTCAAATTCAATAAAATAACGTATCCTTTAAATGTTTAATAAAATAACATATCCTTTAAATGTTTAATAAAATAACTATCATTTACAATATGGTTAATAAAATAACGTATCATTTAAATGTGGTTAATAAAATAACGTATCATTTACAATATGGTTGATAAAATAACGTATCATTTAAATGTTTAATAAAATAACGTATCATTTAAATGTTTAATAAAATAACTATCATTTACAATATGGTTAATAAACTAACGTATCATTTAAAATGTGGTTAATAAACTAACGTATCATTTAAAATGTGGTTAATAAACTAACGTATCATTTAAAATGTGGTTAATAAACTAACGTATCATTTAAAATATGTTTAATAAACTAACGTATCATTTAAAATATGTTTAATAAACTAACGTATCATTTAAAATATGTTTAATAAACTAACGTATCATTTAAAATATGTTTAATAAACTAATGTATCATTTAAAATATGTTTAATAAACTAACGTATCATTTAAAATATGTTTAATAAACTAACGTATCATTTAAAATATGTTTAATAAACTAACGTATCATTTAAAATATGTTTAATAAAATAACGTATCATTTAAAATATGGTTAATAAACTAACGTATCATTTAAAATATGTTTAATAAAATAACGTATCATTTAAAATATGGTTAATAAACTAACGTATCCTATAAATGTTGAATTCTGCCACACCCACGCCCAAAGAAAAGTCAAGTTTGGATGGTTTTCTTTTATGGTGATCCCTAATCCTTTTACAGGGGTTTATTTTTCTTTATTGTACACGCACCTTAGCAGGACCGGGCGAATAATTCTTGCCAATGTGTTACTTTTTCATAAGAAAAAAAAATGTAATGTAAAGACAAAGCAACCCCCCCCCCCCCATCCCAATTGAAAAAAATTGTGATATACCACACCCTCGATATGTGGAAAAATGTGCCACCCCTCCCAGCCTTGAAGGCAACATGAATAAGATTTTTTTTAAACATTAACTGATCAGTGGGGGCTCACAGTGGGTTATGGGCCATCAGAAATCTGTGCAACACAATAGACACCACTAGATCAGCCGCATGGCACTGAGGGAAGCAGAGCTGGGACATTAATTATTCCAATCATAACATTGATTTCTTAAAGGAGATGAAACGAACAAGATGTCTTGCCAGAAAAAATCAAAACCCCCCCCCCCCCTCCTTTCCACAAATTAGCCCTTAAAAAGAGAAAGAGTTGTACAAAGTCAAATAAGCTTAATTTTTAATAAGAGAGAAAGCTGTTAAAAAATAGTAATAAAAAGTCAAGTCAACAAATCAAGATGAACACATCACAGTGAGAGATTCGCCTATTTTATTGTGTCCTGAAATGAGAGAGCATTTATCAAACATAAGAAATATGAGCATGTGTCATAGAAAGCTATCAAACATAAGAAATATGAGCATGTGTCATAGAAAGCGAATGAATAACCCTATAAAAATGTGAATTTGCACAATGACTGCATCTTTAGGGCTTACAATTTTATATATGCCACCTCTAGCTCAATACTATGAGTAAAGTTTCAAACTTAAGACAAAAAACTAGATTTAGGGAAGAAATGTTCAAACCCATAAACACAAGTCTACATTGTTTACTATATTAAAATATATTAATTAATAAGCTATGGTTACACTGCAGATGAACAGTTTCCACAAAATCATGGCAGTTTTTACAGTATGCCACTTTCCTGTCATTCCTTCAGATACAGTCTGCTTACTAGAGAAAAACCTAAAACTTTTCAAAATTCCACAAATATTTATTCTAAAAGTCTGTGATTCACTTGATAATGCAGAAAAACAAATTTAATCTTAAACTTACAATAATCATTTCACTAAGTCGTTTTTTGATTGTTTTGTTTTTCATAATGACACTTTTTTTTTCATAATTTCCACACACAAAAAAGTATCCCATATACATTCTCTGTTTGAGGGAATAAGCATGAGTAGCTCACCATAGATTATATAACTCACCATAGATTATATAATGTGTCTGTTATCTAGTTGGCACTAACGATGAGGGAATATAAATGAATAGCCCACCATAGATTATATGAGGTGTCCGTATCAAAATTTCTGTCTTCTATTTAACTTTTTTTTTTAAATATCAGTATAAGGCATTTGTCTAACTTTGAAAAAAAAACAAAAAACAAAGATATCTACATGCAAAAATATTAATTTTATTGATTGGAATTCTTGAGTTCGAACTGTTCCTGTGTCATTGACAGATATTGTTGTAAAAAAAAAACGGTCACTGTCAACCTACCAAATTTGTCTAAAAACTCTCTGTATAAGTATAATACTGACAACTAGTCTTCAAAACCCTTTTGTGTCATATTTATTATAAAAGCATCTCCATCCACATTTTATACAGCGAATTCAACAACGTCAAACACATCTATTTAAGGACAGGTGTACAGAGACACCATTATAGACAATTGTATTTAGAAAACATCAAAACACATCCATTTAAAATTATAAAAATGATTTGGTGGCATATTGCTATATTAACAAGTAGCTTTCTAATCAACATCTAAATCATACGATGATCTGGTGGCATTTTGCTCCACTTGTCTACTATCTTTACGTTAAATATATGCTCCTAAAAAGAACTCAAACATTGATCAAAATAAAATACTGTTTTTAGACCGAAAATGGGTCTGGTATTCTTAACAAATGTCCACACTAACATTTGTAAAAAAAAATATTATTTACTTGATTTTTTGGTAAGGGATGAAAAAGCTCAGTCAACAGGAGGGAAAGACAATGCAGATGACAAACACAATTCAATGGCTCTGTTTCTGTTTGTTATAGTGTGTGCATTTCTGCTTATAAATCATCAATTTTCACAATAAAACATGAGAAAAATGGCATGATAAATGTGTTCAGTATTAAATATTTTCAAAAGTTTTGAATAACAGTACAACTTGCGATAGTATCCAAGTGCCAAAAAAACTATTTTTTATGAACTAAGCAGTGAGTTTATGAGTTGACACTTTCCCATTGCAGTAAATTCTACTAAGATGAAATAGAATTTTTAAAAGATATAAAAACAAATTTAGAAGCTATGTCATAAAAATGACAACTAGAAATAACGTCAAAATTGATTCTTAAACAAAATTATAAAGTATTCTTCCAGAATTATTTTTCAAATTTATTATTAAAACTGAGACAAATACGGATCTTCTGCAGTTTGTAGTTAACCAGGCGTAGAGGCTAGTCTGAACCACACTTTTCACAACAATTAAACTGCTGGTACATATTCTACAACAAGTCAACAAGGGTCTCAAACTAATGGTCTGTGGGTCACATTCAACCCCCCAAGCTTGCTTATGCAGCCAGTTACACATTATTATATGAGACAATGCTCAAAAATGATGTAAGTGTGTTGCAGCATATTAGACATTTTCATGCTGCCAATTTAAGTCGGAGACCCATGTGCTACAAGATAGTCATCAACATACATTATTAGAACACCAATGAATTTCATTTAACGTTTGAGTTAAGTTCACAGATTATCAAGTTCATGATCGCATGAGCAGAACTATTCTTGGATACTTTGATTACAACAGCATTTGAACAGTTTATAAGTAAAAAATACTAAATTATTATTTTATTTTAAAAAAATGTTTATCTTCAACAATCACCCGTTATACACATATCTTCTCAGTTCGACAATATATATATTAATTTTACATGTTCTTATTGGGGAAGAGTCATAATGATCCCTTAATAATGATCTCATATATTTTTAGATCTTGAAAAATATAAAAACCTTAAATGTTCTTGATTTTATGTCACAGACATAAATGTCAGTTCTAAAAGTCTAGAATTGCCAGTACATTTATCAAATATTCTTAGACCTTATTTAGCTGGGATTTTTAAATGCACAATTTGTCTAAATGCATAAACATTGATACATTTAATTGATGGTGGGTTTGGTGTATGGCCTTAAAATGTGAAAGAATAAATCTATGGCCTTAAAATGACAAAGAATATATCACAAAGTCATTAGAGAAAATAAAGTCAAAATATAAATTAAAAAGTTGTAAGACTCATACCATAGCATCCTTTCCCTCTCTCATTCATTCATGGACAATGTGTTACAACCTTTTGGAGCATCTATGAAGACAAATAGTAAGGTTGGACTTTGACCAGGAGATTTCTGATTGGAAGATCAAGTCATCACAAGCAGCAGGACTGTTTTAAGTGATGACCTTCATAGACATCAAAATCTGCATGGTGCTTTTCCAGTATACTATCTGGCATCAGAGAGAACTGAGAAAAAAAGAAAAAAAAAAGATTTAAAAGAAATAAATGTAATAAACTTTAGACTTGAATCTATGAAATGTATTTACCATCTTTATCAGTCATCATCCCTTTCACTCTATTGAGAGTTAAGAAAAAATTGTGTGTGAAATTTATAAAGTTATGATTGACAAGCCTCATTTTACTGTGCATCATATTTACAATTTAGCCATTGCAATCTTGGTATCAACATTGAGAGAGTTTACAAGATGTGAACTCTTCTCAAACAGATTTATTTCCTAAAACTAACATGTTGCAACAGAAGTATCTAGAATGCAGCCGGGCTTTTCAAATTTAGAATTAATGAATATCACAAAATAAGTTATTTGAAAGAATTTTTTTTAAAGGCATCTAGCCTAAGCATGGTTTGACTCAACTATGAAATAAAGTTTTAGAATTTGCTTGGCAATGTTGAAAGAGGTCAAATTTATTATTTCATGACAAAATGTAAAGAAAAAATAAGGATTATTAGCATTAGTCAACATCAGTTAATAGAATTACAAATTCTGTTATTAGAACGACAACTTCTGTTATTAGAATAAAGAGTGCCAGCAATAATAAATTCAATGCGGATAAAATAGAAACAGAAATTAAAATATGCAGATACCCAAAAGGTTCCAAGACATAGCCATTTTTGTAACTGATTTGCTATGTTGTTGGTTTGGCATATCGTAAATTGTTTTCAATCATCTGAAACATTTCACTGGGTGATGGAATGCGACCTGTCTCTAATTTTGACCAGATAGGAACATCTGAAAACAGATGTAAAAATGTGAAATATTTAAAGCAATTTTAGGCACTCAAATTAGTATAAAGCTCACAATAAAATACAAAAAGTGTATCACATTTTAAAAAATAACTGTCATCTTGTAACTTTACATAGATATTTTATTTTTAAAAAAGAAATAGCGGTAATTGGTTTTTAATGGAAGATCAATAGAGTATACTCTGACCCATTATCTTTCTTAATTAAGAGGACTTTCTATGACATATGCTGCATGTTAAACATTTTGAAAAAAATTCACTTACCATTAAATAAAATTTCAAAAGCACCCGTAGATATTAACTGCCCTTCTATTGCATTTGAAATGAAAAACAGCATAAGGCATGCATACATCTGGAGAATAAAATCAGAAATGCAAAATATTAAGAATTAACCTTATAAAATAATAAATGTAGGCCTACAACATTTAACTTTAAAATAAACAGAGCACCGATTAACATTGAGAAACATACATATCTCAACAGAGACAGCCTCATATGAGCATCATTTTCAGCAATACTCTCACACTAAAAGTTATAAAATAGTAAGTCTAAAAAATAAACATTAAAAGTTTAATGCGTGTTTCTAATATAGTTTTCTGTTAACCAACCTTGTTTTCTATTGCCCAGGAAAAAAACCCAGGTGTTTGTAAGTTGAGTGACGGGAAAGGATTGTAACCAGTCATTACGAGTCCTATAAAAACAAACTTGAGAACTGCGAGAACTTGAGCCAGCGTTGCCTGGATCACTGGAGGCGGGTAATTGTCGCCAACAATCGTCAGTGCCGGGAAACGCTCATGAAGTGCTTGAGCATATTGCTCAAACACCTTTTTGTAACCTCAGGAGGAGCTACCAAAGAGAAAAGATGAGTGTTTAGGTGAATTTATACAATTAAAATGTAAGTACCGGGGTACAACAAGTTTGCTCGACCAAGTTCCAAATGAGAATCCCAGAACAGTAGCCAGATGCATATTAGTGCCCCCTTTTGGATTCATAAAACCTTTGCGTGATGAGACTAACATTTTTTTTAAAGTATGGCTAATTATTAACTGCATCCAAAATAAATAACCCATGGTGCTTGAGGCATAGTCAGGCTGTACAGGAAGACCCAGAAAATTGTGATTATTTGCATTTTTTTATCGTGGCGGGTACGGGAAAAATATTTTCAAATTGAAATGGGCATCATGAACTGGATTTGGGAGCGTGAATGTTTGTTTATAACATTGTTGATCATGAGTTGGCAAGAGGTTTTGTAAGGGGGAGTGGTGATTGATCAGGGGTTATGCAAGGTCAGTTTGTGGGATTAGTTCATGGAGTTCTGCTATTGTCACTATGCTGAGTGATCATTGTAGTGAGAAGATGCAAGCTAGTTAGTCAGTGAAGATGTCAATAAACAAGTGAGTTGTTTAAATGCTGTGGGAACATGGGGTGACAGTCAGTGCATGGAGTTATTATAGTGATAGTCTGGTTAGTTAGTTAGAGTGGTTAGTTTGTTAAGTTCTTTTGAGCAGTAGTGTTGAGAGCTTGCAGGCAGATAGAGACTTTTATTTTTATTTTGAGATTGACTGAAGAGTTGGTTATCAGAGTTTAACAATCATCTAGCTGTTGTAATATGTCCCTTGCATTGTTTGTATGCTATACAAAAATAAGAAAATCTGACAGTGTCAAGGTTTATAATAATTATAATAATTAAGAAACAATGTGTGGCAGAAAAAAAACCTAGACAATTCTAGCCAACAAACTGCCAGTCAGAATACAACCTGGGGACCCTAACTTTGAATTAATTAAGAACATTTTTTCTGCACATTTAAAAAAAAAAATTGTTGAAATGTATTTTTTTTATATTTAATAAACTAAATAACATTAAATTAAATATTTTAAAAAAAGAAATGAGATTTAATCACCACATAAAATGAATATTATTAAAAAGAAACAAGAAATTGTGAAGATTCAGGATTATGATTAGATGTTATTTCTAGGCTTCTTTCAGGTACAAGGGAAAATTTTAATTTTCTGTTGAAGAGAAGATCTTTGTGGAATTTATTCCACTTCCATCAACAGTAAGGTATACAGTAATATACATGGACAAGGATGGCAAAGACAAAGTTTATGAAGGAGAAATTTTGTGATTCATTAACAAGACCAAGAAGTCTGTAAAGGAGTCTACATAGAAAATGATAGGCAGAACATCCCCATTCCCTTTTAAAATTTAATCACATACCCGTATGCTCATATATTAGTCTCATGATGGGTGCTTTGAATAGTTTTTATAATTTCATGCATTTAATGTTGTATTAAAAAGACTTCCACTTACCTTTTATAAAGATAAGAATTTATTTGCAATATAAATGAATCATAAATTTAGTTTAACTACAATAAACATGTATTTTTTTTGTTTTTGCATTTACAAATAACTTTTCCAATTTTTTTGGACATGATTTTTCAACATACATCATACCTGCAAAGAAAATTATCCAAAATAAAAAGTCTTGATGTAATGTAAAATTTATATTGTTCTTCGTGTTTTTATTAGATTAGGAGTGTCTCCTGAAAATTTGGTGCAATTATCTTTAAATTTAAAAATAAAAATGTTGTGGGCAAAATAATGCAGATATGTGAAATTTGGGTCACACGTTTGTCGTTTTGGGCGGGGGTTATGACAGGCATTAAAAAATTTGACTAAAAAAAAATCATAACTCCACTTCTATAAAAGATAGAAAGATGTAAATTGTGTTGTTATAAAGCTTATAGCTAGCGCTTTAAAGTGATGTATCATTCATGGCAATCGGACTATATTTATTATTTAAAATTTCGGCTTACCAAAACTTGTGTCAAAGTACCTACCCGCGGTAACTTAGTATATTCTATACTCTATACCAAAGCCAAAACTATGTATAGTTAAATTAAGCATACTTAATGGCATTTTTCATTGATAATTGCTGCAAATTGAAATAAAGTTTCTGAAAGTTACGATGATAGAGGAGAAGCTTCATTCATGTCAATGATTTCAATTAATAATTACGGCTTGTCGACTCTGTACTAAGAAGAAAAAATTCTTACCAAAATAAAAATTTAAGTGTGGGACCAGCAAAGCTAGATAACTTTGGGGCCTTAATATCTTTCTGTATAGTTTTTGACTCTTGAGAATAAGTAAAGTCTCTATATGTTATAAAAATTAACCCTATGCACAAGGCATAAAACGGTGCCCTGCCTAAGTCAGCCATGTTTATACAATGGCCAGATTTTGGGAATTAATATTTGTGGAGTCATGCCTACTTTTAAAGGAAAATTGATTTTGAATGTCAGACTTTTAAAAATTGAATATTTTAATGCTACTGTAGGGAAATTTTACATATATTTTTTTCATACAAAATTACTTGAGCTCTTTTTTTAAAAATTAATACGTGTACATTTGCTATTGAACAGAAAAAATATCAATACACTGAAAAACAATGAAATCAATTCAGTCATATACTGCTTTCAACAGATTTTTGTAAACAACGAAGTAAATAATTAAGTTACAGGTTCTTAAAAAATATATACTATATACTCTTGTTAAATTTGACTGCACTTTTGTAGTTTCTTTTTCTTCCGGGCATATCGGTAGCTTGGCAGTAATAAGTATTTAAATGTATTAGTATTGTGCTATATAACTTTATAGCCTCTATACGGAAGCAAAAATATTAACAGACTCCAATGTAAGAATAGTTGTTTACATAGCCCTTCCAATCGGAAAAATTGGATTTTTTCTTGGCCGACGCTCAAGTGGTAGATTACCTAACTGGTTGTGTCAACCAAGATGGCGGATACCTCGGGCAGATCTCTCATAATTTACAGAAAATGTGATTAATAAAGCAACCTACCCCTTCGCTTACAGTAACCATCGGTCATAACTGAATATTTACCAGTTGGGGCAGGGCATTTTGGCAATTAGACTCTGTCTGATCAATGGACGGCAAGGTTAAATTCTACTTTTTAGTTTTATGCCTGGTTTAAAAATGTGACTGAGGTGAAAAGTAACAAAAATAAAGGTCATATAATTAAGTCGCAGACTTAAACTGTTCCTGAACCCCATTCATGTAGTTCCAAAGCTTTCAAATTCCAATGCAAGACAAATTTTTTTCCCTTCTAAATAAAAAAGAAACTGGCTTAATCCTTTCCTGTGTCCCACAAACTCTATGTGTCCAGTCCAGAGTCCTTTTCTTAAAATACTCGAACCACCCTCAACTGAATTTAAACTCCTTAAATTAGCGCTAGTTTAAGACATGCCTTTCACTAATTATTGTGGAGGAACTTTACATTTTATCTAATTACCGTCTTAGAAATTCGATCACCAGCCAAATACTTTTCATTAAAACAAACTAAATTGAGTATTTTCCCTCTTCTAAACTTTTCATTCTTCTAGAGTTCTGTGTTGTCATGTCCCTTTGACCACATGAACTGCTTTGAAATTGAAAGCTAATTTATTTTTTCTAAATTGTACAGTCAATATAGGCATCTTGAAAATATTAGCGAGATCAGCAAATTTCATACTTGAAAGTAAGATGTAACTTGTATCGAAATGCGTTTTTGACAGATGTTGTCTTACTCTTATTTTCCTCACTGCACTTATTAGGGCCCATGGTGAACACACTTAGTTGTTATTATGTTAAAAAAATAACACAAAACGTGCACAAAGGTATAAAATTAGCGAAAATCACATCATATGCTATCACTTCACCTTCTTAAAATGAACTGAATGACAAAGTGTATGGGTGGCTCGAACGCTGAGGAAATGTATGCACAAAAAACAGACTAAGAACATGCTGGGCAATCGGATTCCGAGGCCCTCTTTATACTAGTAGTAGATAGTCTATGTAATATTCATCATCATCAATGGTGCTACAGCCCATGTAGGGCCCTGGGCTGCTCCATCACATCCTTCCGTTTGGATCAATCAATGGCTTTTGCCTCCATGCACAAAACCCCCAACTGGTGTCAGTCTGTCTCTACAACATTTATCCATCTCAGTCTTTGTTCACTGGTGATTCGTTTGCCCCTAAGTTTCTGCCTGTAGATCACTTTTACTGCTCTACAATCAGGCATCCTTTCCTGTCCAGCACAGTTTGCCTTTTTTTTTATTGTCGCAAGTAGGGGTGGGTCTTTGTACAATTGATATAGCTCTTGGTTTGGAAGGATTCTCCACATCATCATTGTCTATCACCGGGACATATCTAGCATTGGCCTAGATTGGCTAACCTAAAAGTATATTCTGAGCATACAGACTATAAAATAATATCAGAGGGAAGACTTGTTGAAAAATGTTCTATTCATCATCAGTGGCCTCTTTAAGTACTAATTAGTTTGCCAATTTAAATTTACTTTCACTAATGCCCATTGACAATATTTATCATCTACTTCTAGGATTTGGACTTAGTGATTAGAGCCAGATAACGTAGGCAATGCTGCAATACTAATAGATCATTTAGCAGAGCTAGGCGAGGACAACAAATAGTTAACTGTGAATTATACTCTTGCATTCGTAATTGTATTCACTATTTAGCTTTGGATCTGTTAGTTTTTAGCTAAATCACAGTAGCTGGAGACAAAATGACAAACCAAGTTGCATCATCTGTAAAGATTCAGTTTTCACAAGTAAGAAATTAGAATCACTAATAATATTGATTCTTGTTGAATCTAGTTTGTTTTGGTGCTAATGAACTTAATTTTTTTTTTTTTTTCAGTATTTACTTGTGTTTTGTTTATCAATTGTTTAGGCTATATAAAATATTTGTAAAATTGGCTATGTTAATTACATGACTTGACTATTCTAAAACTACTCCTACCTCATACTTAATAC